CCGCGAGCAGTACGCGCGCCCCGGCTTCGCCGGCTCCTACTCTAGCCCCTACCCGGCCTACATGGCCGACGTGGGTGCGTCCTGGGCCGCCGCCGCCGCCGCCTCCGCCGGCCCCTTCGACAGCCCGGTTCTGCACAGCCTGTCGGGCCGGGCCAACCCCGCCTCCCGGCACCCCAACCTCGGTGAGTACCGCGCGCCAGGGCCCGCCCTGTCCCAGGAACGGCCTTGCCTTTTGCACCGGTAGGGCTCAGAGAGATGGAGAGGCCATCAAGTTTCCAAGGAAGGCAAACGAGGGAAAGCAAGGCGGACGGACAGTTACGGTGGAGGAAGCCACAGCCGCTGTAGGGAACCATCGTGCGGAGTGAGGGTGGGCCTGGGCGGGGGTGTGTGTCCTCTTTTCAAAGCGAGGGAAGGCGGAGCGGTGGCGCGCTCCGGGTGAGGGGCTTGCCGGGTGAGCCCTCTGCTGGGCCCAGATGTTGGCTGTGTGTGGGCCCGACGTGAGCGCGGGCAGTAGAGGCCCAGGGGCCTCGCAGAGCTGCGGGGAGGCGCCGAGGAGGCCTTGGTGCGAGGCGGCTCATCGCCCAGGGTCTGTTCTCAGGGAAGCCTCTGCGGGGAACTGATTAAATTGACTTGGGCCTGAGATCTTCTGGGCCATTTGTCGGCCAGTTGGAGCATCCTTTAGGGGAGCGGCTGATTTTTCTGTTGGGGATTTCACACTGGGAACAAAAGAGGGACCGCACAAAGGAAACCGCCTGGGAGGTGGGTTGAACTGCGGGCACTGGTTTCGGCCTTGGAGTTGTGCTGTGCACGCGGAGGCGGACGCTGAACCAGGGCACACTCATAAAAAGGCCGCTTGGCCGACGGTGAGGAAGATGGGGCGGTTGTACAGAGCACCCCTCTTGCCGAGGTCTGGGGTAACAAATAGTAATGATGGCACAGTTTAACGTTTCCTTAGAGTCGAGGATGGACCTTGAAAGGACTCCAGGTATGCCGTCTGTATAGATTAATGCGCCTTGATATCTGGGTTAAAAGAGCAAAGGAAGTAGCAACGATTAAAAATGAAAATGACTTCTGCTTTTATGAAATTTCAGGAGAAGGGGGAAAATTCAGATTTGTGGAGGATGCGAGACTCAGACTTGAGAAACAAAGTTTCCATTTACTGACTACCTAGGAAGTGCTAAAATCCTTTTGCATTTATTCTCACTTTGTAGGGTAAAGCCTGTCTCCCATCCCACTTTGTGGTCTTGGGCAGGCTCCAGGAAGGGCTCCAGCTTTGAAGAACTTTTAAATTACCCTCTGACCCTAGGTGGTCAGGGAAGGGCCCCCAAGAGGTACTAGTCAAATACACATCCCAGGTAAACTGATTAACCGTGGAAGTGGCGCCGGGCTGGGGCTGTGACTACCAGTGAGTCCCCCACCCCACCCCACCCCTTCAGGGGAGCCAGACGACACTCCCCAGGGAGGAGGGGCAGCCACCTGGCACCGAGCTTGGCTGGAGGATCTTTGTGCGATGACTAACCTTGTGCAGATCTCCATACAATGGCAACTTGAGGTGTGGGAATGTTGGAGTGGGGACACTGACCCCCAGCCTCAGGATGACTCCTGGAGACTTCTATTTTAAATGGGAAGCATGATCTGATCATAGTTCCACTTGTTGCTTTGTAACCTCTGTAATCCCAGAATGAGAATTTAGTATTGAGTTATGGAAGAGAGTCGTTGTTATGTACTAACCAGTGGGAACCATGCCATAATCCTGGAACCAGGTTTTCAGAGGCAAATCAAAGGAGATGATTACTCTGTCTCAGCAGAGTAGCTGGTGCATTCGAACCATTTACCTTCAGGTTGGCAGTGCAGCTCCCTCCTTACCACTGGGTCAGCAGAGCTCCCAGAAGGGAGAGAAAATGTAAAATAGTTTTTGATTATTGAAGTCACAGCTGCAATAGAGCAGGGAAACCCTGACGCTCACTGCGCCATTTGAAAATGCAACCCATTCCATGCATACAAGTTCTGAAATAATGTCCTCCCTCTGGTGTCAACAAATGGCATGCTGACTTTCAGGGAACCCCTTCCTTACTGTATGACCTGTCCCCAACTAGTTCCTGAAGCCTCACTTGAAGAACACCCCTTGGGTCTCGCCTAGCCGTTGAATTTTCTCTTCTGCACGTAACCAGGTGTCTGATGGTGAAGTAATGAAAGCTTCATGTCATCTTGAGGAAACACAGTGCATGTTGAATATGTTGCCATGTAGATTTTCAGACTGTTCTGTTACTTCCATAAAAGCAGGTTAAATAAAAGCCATGCCTGTACTATGCCTTTTATATATGTGCATCCTATCCCCAGAGCCTTTCTCTGAAGGCCTGGTTAGCCTTTGTGAGGCAACATCTGCACATGGGAAGATACACACTGAGTGTTGAAGGATGCTGCTGCTGTGATGATTAATTCCATTGTATTTATTGAGTACTCACCAAAGTCTTTCACCATAGGGCTTGAAGAAGGCAATATAGTTGTAGCAGGACTAGCATAGGCTTTGGAGCCTGACAAATGTAGGTTCAGTTCCAAGTGCCCATGTGCTGGTGGGCAAATTACTTAACCTCTTTCACTCTCCTCTCTAATTTATGTAAAATGAAATAATCAGAGCTACTTTTAGTGTTGTATTAAATTTTAAAAATAAGATACTTTTGATGAAGTGCCTAGCTTTGACTTCTCACGAGGGAGGGCTATTTTAATGGTTGCATGGGGACACACATGTTGGGTAACACATCCTAATTTGCTTAGGACATAGGGGTTCTCTAGGATGTAGGGTGGATAGAGAATTGTGCTGCCAATCCAAAAGCAGGCAGTTCAAATCCACCAGCTGCTCCAAGGGAGAAAGATGGACAGTCACCTCTCAAGCTATTTACAGCTTCTGAAAAATCAGCTGGAGAATCACTTATGAGTCAGTTCTGCCTTGATGGTACATAACAACAATAAGCAAATAGTGATGGATTGTTACCCTGAAAAGATAAAAAAATATGTAAGTGACCTAGAGAACAGAACCATCAGATGTATGTCTAGCAACCCCGGAAATCTTCACCTAAGTGGTGACATTTACATTTTATTTTGAAGGATGAGTAGAAGTTTGCCAAGGAAAAGCCTACAATTATATATAAACAATAAAAAATATACCCTGATTTGTCTGCAGATTCTGTTGTTATTGTGGCTATGCAGTGACAAATCAGAACCAACTGACATCTGACCCTCTACTGGCTTTTCAGATACAGTAAATTACATGAGAAGAGACTGCCCATTTTTCTCCTGCAGACCAGTTGGTAGATTCGAACCATATTCCTTTGGGTTGGCAGTGCAACTCCTTACCAATAAGCCACCAAAACTTCCTTCCTATTCTCTTGTACTATGCAATAAATACAACTTGATTTCTGACTTGATATTTACCACTATAGCTAAACTCATCTAGACTGATTGATGCCCTTGAACTCAGAAGCAGTTTTTATTTTTAATAAAAAGAAAAAGATGTTTTTATGTTTTTCTTTTTCTGTGAAGTGTTAACTTTTTTTGTATTAACAATAGTTATTATCTTGTTGGAACTGTTACGCTGGCTATAGAAATAAGGCAGAAATCAAAGTAATAGAGTCTATCAGGGGCATCTGTAAAGTTCTGCACTTAGATTGGAAGAAATTTTTCTGCCTTGAATACAATGTATGCAGACTTTAGCCAATTCCAAGTTCAATACAAGCTAAGACCCAGAAACAACTGTTAAAATTGTTAGTTAGGCAGCTTTTATGGAATTATGTGAACTTACTGAGGGCAGGTACAGAGGCTTACTTATATTTAAGTGCCTGGCACATGCTGAGCACTTAGTAAATATTTGAGCAGAGATCTAGGAGGTCATTGTCCCAGTACTCTGCCTTGGTCAAACCACATACAGTTACTTGTTTCTAGTCTCTTAAAGAGGCAATTTGGAGAGCAGTCAGGGAGGAGTTGCCAGATGGGGGCAGGTTCTAGGAATCACTGAAGAAAGAAAGGCTGAATAGGCTAGGTGAACAGGTGAGGTAAGGAAGAGGTGATTTTGTAAAGACATTTAAAGGAGAAATGGCTTTAACTTTCTGGTGCTCTAGATGAACAGATACTAGGTTTCAGAAGAAGAGTTTCTCACACATGACTGTAATTGTTTGGAAATGGAATAACTTGTTTTAATAATAATAAGTCTGTGAGCACTGCAAGTGCTTAAGTAGAGACTATACACCCATTAGCTAGCTGAACTGTGGATAGAATTCTTGCATTTCAAACGTATAGCAGCAGAATTTTCTATAGCTGGATAATACAACTATCTCATTTTTTTATTTTTTTTTCTGCTTACATTTTAAGTTTTTTGTGTTATTAATTTTAATGAACATTAACAGAGATTTTGAATTTCCATTCATTCATTGTTGTACTGTTCATTCCTCTTTCTCTCTTTTTTTTCCCCCTTGAAAGTCTGTTTTAATTGTATCATTGCCACAGTGCTTGTCAAAACAACTATCTCCTTTTATGGACTGGCCCTTTTCCCAATGGTGACACAGTTAAATAAATTAACATTTAAAAGGAGATTGTAAGATAACTCTATAATAGTTTTTCTTTAAAGTAGCAGTTAACATGTATGAATACTTTAAGACTGAAAAACAGACTGCAATTTATATATCATATATAAAAAATATTTTGAAGGAAATAGCACAGTGGTGTTACTGCAGACCATGAAAATATATTTTATGATAGAATAACAATTATTTTAGCAATAAATTATTCTAAAGCTTTGCATCCTCAGAAGATCTCAACAATTCCCAATAATTTAGGGATTTAAAGTAATACAAGAAAATATATTATGTATCATTTAGTGTTACCCTTCTTCAAAAGAAGTTTTGTCATTAGGTGGGAGGAAATCACAATGTTCTAAGAGTTCTAAGTAAGAGGTCAGGGAAGAATGAAAGTGTTCTCTGGATTTCTTGGGTGCGGTGGGGGGGTACTGCTTATCAGTTAACCTAGTTGCTTTCTGAAGCAGTTCATTTGTATGGGGAACTTGGTTAGATCAACTTTAAGTAGCTTGTTTGGCTAAAGAACAATTTGTCAGTCTTTAGGACAACCAGTATTGTTTAACTTTCCGGTTACCACCCTGAGCAGGTCACCAGAGTTGGCGTTGATCTGTGGT